TTCACAAATGATCGACTCCACAACACTATCTCTCACTGTTTATCGTTGATCCACACCAACAATAACTTCTCCACATCTTTGATTATTGGCGATCTTTGTTTCGTTAGCATATTTACCCCTTTCGCAACATTAGCTTCCTTGATTTCTACTTTCTTTGCCAGGATGGAGGTGATTGTTGATTTTGACTTCCCATACGTCCTGGCTAGCTGGAACACATGTACACCACTTTCGTACTTTGCTACAATTTCTTTCCTGAATTCTGTCGTGTTTCTCGCTTTGGTAAAAGGGCTGGTACTAGGAACTTTCTTTGGGCCCATGGTGGCTTATTTCACAGTCGCACTCAATAAACAACCACAAAAAACAATGGATTTTAACAAAATGTTTGGCTGAATGAGCAGTGTTGCTCTCTCACCCAGAGACAGCCAGACTGACTCATGAACACGGCTGAGTGGCGGGTGAACTTGTCCAATACAGCCGATTTCCGAGTTGCAGCCAAAATCTAGGATAGAATTTCGTCCAAAAAAGTGGCCGAAATCCAATTTGGTCGATATCCGGGGGTCCACTGTTTTTGTAGAAAGTCGTGTGGGAGGTAGGTTAGAGAATCCCTCCTCTAGTGTTTGTGAATGGCTAACTTCATTAGATCGCCACGTTTTCATCAGGAAAACATAATGTAAAGAAATAAACTGGTGTATGTAGTACTACAGCATTTACCTTGGAGAAGAGATGCTTGCGGAGGTTGATGGTGGAGAAGAGATGCTTGCGGAGGTTGATGGTGGAGAAGAGATGCTTGCGGAGGTTGATGGTGGAGAAGAGATGCTTGCGGAGGTTGATGGTGGAGAAGAGATGCTTGCGGAGGTTGATGGTGGAGAAGAGATGCTTGCGGAGGTTGATGGTGGAGAAGAGATGCTTAAGAACATAAGAAAGAAGGAATATTGCAGCAGGCCTACTGGCCCATGCAGGGCAGGTCCATGTCAACCCCTGGCTTAGACCAATGGCCCACCCAGTCAGGTCACCTCCACAGCACAGCTTCTGACCCAGTAGCACCAGCTAGTCAGGTCCAACTCACACCCACTCATGTGTTTATCTAACCTATTTTCAAACTACACAACGTCTTAGCTTCTATGACAGCACTTGGGAGTTTGTTCCACTCATCCACAACTCCATTACCAAACCAGTGCTTTCCTATATCCTTCCTGAATCTGAATTTTTCCAGCTTAAAACCATTGCTGCAAGTTCTGTGTAGGCTAGATATTTTTAGCACACTATTTACATCCCCTTTATTCCTGTTTTCCATTTATACACTTCAGTCATATTCCTCCTAATTCTATGCCTTTCTAGAGAGTGCAGATTCAGGGCCCTCAGTCTATCCTCATAGGGAAGATTTCTGATACATGGGATCAACTTTGTCATCCTCCTCTGTACATTTTCCAGTGCATTTATATCCATGTTGTAATACCAGAACTGTGCAGCATAATCTAAATGAGGCCTAATCAAGGATATATACAGTTGAAGAACAACCTGTGGATTTCTATTATTTATGCTTCTTGATATGAAGCCAAGGATTCTGTTAGCTTTATTGTGAACACTTATGCACCGTTGTCTTGGTTTCAGGTTACTGCTAACCAGAACTCCTAAATATTTTTTGCTGAGGTTCACGGTGGAGAAGAGATGCTATCACTTATTGCTACGCTCTTACTGCTACACCTTATTACTGAACTTAACTGCTACAGTTTGCTGGTGCTATAGCCTTTGTAGACTCCTGCTTTAGTATTGTGCACATCGTAAAAGTGCTACGCTAGTACGCTACCCTCAGACCTCGTTTTTGTTTTTCTATGATTTCAAGCTTTACTTCCATAGCCATCATCCTTATTTTCTCCTCAGCACTGTCCTTTGCACTTGCTTTCTTAGGATCCATAGTTAGAAAAAAGAAATTTGGCTAAATAACTGCATGAAACGTCAGGAAAACACGAGAATTCCTTCCACCGCGAGTATGCATGTGTTGTTGTGGTTCTGAGCCTGCCATCTTGTGGTGGTGTTCTGAAGCTCACTTGTTATTATTATTATTATTATTATTATTTTTTTTTTTTTTTTTTAACAAATCAGCCGTTTCCCACCGAGGCAGTGCCCCAAAAAGAAAAATGAAAGTTTCTTTCTAAATTTAGTAATGTATACAAGAGAAGGGGTTACTAGCCCTTTGCATTATTATTATATGTATCATTATTATTAGTTGTAGTATGTATGTATTATTATTATAATAATAATTACAGTGGTACCTCAAATTTCAGCCTTAATTTGTTCCAGAAGGCTGTTTGAGTGCTGTTACCGAAAGAATTTGTTCCCACGAGGAAAAATGTAAATTAGATTAGTTCATTTCAGAACCCCAAAAATACACTTACAAGCGCACTTATAAAAATGCACTTACATAATTGTTCAAGTTGGGAGCTGTTCGAAATTCAAGGTACCACTGTATTATTAATTTAGGAAACTGGAGCACAGATCCAATTCCCTTGATCAAAAGGCTGCCAGTAGTTGGTGCCACCATCAGCAAAACATTGGTAACCACTACTAGTACACTTTTCACTTGTTTAGACTTAAGTAGTCTATTAGTATTAGGTTAAGTCTGCCTGAAATGCCTCGACATGATTAGTGGCTTTCTTTGCTCCAATCATATTATGGTATGTAAACACACACAGTATTAGTCAGAGGGCTGAAGAGGGGTTCTTGGGTGTTTTGGTCATTTAGAGAGAATGGATCAAAGTAGAATGACTTGGAGAGCATATAAATCTGTAGGGGAAGGAAGGCAGGGAGGGGTCGTCCTCGAAAATGTTGGAAGGAGGGGGTAAAGGAGGTTTTGTGGGTGAGGAGCTTGGACTTCCAGCAAGCAAGTGTGAGCGTGTTAGATAGGAGTGAATGTAGACGAATGGTGTTTGGGACCTGACGAGCTTTTGGAGTGTGAACAGGGTAATATTTAGTGAAGGGATTCAGGGAAACCGGTTATTTGTATATAGCCAGACTTGAATACTGGTAATGGGAAGTACAGTGCCTGCACTTTAACCCTTTCAGGGTCCGTCCCGTAGATCTACAGCTTTACGTTCAGGGTCCAAACCGTAGATCTACGCCATGAGCTCAGCTCACTCTGATAAACTGTGAGTGGTACATTTGGGCCTAGATATGAGAGAATACATCTATGTGGTATGTGTGCACCACATAAAACAGATCCTGCAGCACACTGTGTATAATGAGAGAAAAAAATGAAATCATGATTTTTCGATTAAAACAGCAACTTTGCAGTGTTTTTTCGTATGTTTTGTATAGTTGTATTTGCGATTTCTTGGTCTCATTTGATAGAATGGAAGACATATTACAGAAATAGAGATGATTTTGATTGGTTTTAGCATTGGAAATGGCTTGAAACTGAGCTCAAAGTAGCGGAAATGTTAAATTTTTGCCGATATTCAAGAGTAAACAAACGACCTCACACGTCTAATACACATCAGCTGGTGGGTCTAATATACATTCACAAATATGGTGATGATATTTATACAATTATTACAGTATTGCATAACAGTAAATCTTCTATTTTTTGGTGTGAATAAAAATTCATTGTGAATAAAAAATCAAAATGGAATTTATTTGTAAAGCCTCAAAACATAACTAATGAACAGAGGAAATGTTAGTTTAGTGCAAGGAATGCCTACATTGTTCATTCTGGACCCTATTTTGAAATTGGAATATTTTGAACTTTGTGTTAAATTGGCCAAATTAACAATTTCCGATCACTTTATTTTGTAGTTGAAACAGTTGACTTGGCGATTTCTTGTGCTCAATCGATAGAATAGAAGTAATACTAGTGAAATAGCTAAGAATTTGGTTGTTTGGAATAATGTAATTGGCCTAAAATGGGAGTCAAAGTCGGCAAAATCGCCGATTCGTAAATATCGCTGACACATCAAAATTCGCGAGAGCATAATTTCGTCAATTTTCCACCAAATTTCGTACTTTTTGTTTTATTACCTTCACAAAAAGATTCTCTACGATTTCATAAGAAAAAATAACAAATTTTTTTTTTGAAAATTCTTGGACTCCAGATTTGGGCCTTGGACCCTGAAAGGGTTAAAGGAGGGGTTTGGGATATTGGCAGTTTGGAGGGGTATGTTATATATGCTTCTAAACTTTTGTATCTGGGCACCTCTGCAGACAGTGATTATGTGTGAGTGAGGTGAAAGTGTTGAATGATGATGAAAGTATTTTCTTTTTGGGTCACCCTGCCTCGGTGGGAGATGGCCGACTTGTTGAAAAAAAAAAACACACTTTGTAACCTTTGCAAGGAAATAAATATTTTATTTATTTAAGGAACCTCCCTTGAGGGGAGAGTTTGCATTCTGAAAGTTCTTTCGTATCCAGAAGCGAAAAATGACCTAATGACTTTGTATCCTGAAAAATTCACATGATGGGGCTTTCATAAGCCGAGGTTCCACTGTATTATTATTAATATGGTGCGAAGAGTAGAGATACTCTTAGTGATTTTAATGTGTACCTGCATGCCAGCAGTGTTTAAGCATATTTACGTACAGGGGATTTTCTTTCTTTTTTGGGTCACCCTGCCTCGGTGGGAGACAGCCGACTTGTTGAAAAAAAAAAAAAAAAAAACATAAGTATAATTATCAGAGTACGTACATGTAAAATATGCAATAACTTTGAAACACTTGAAATTTTTGGAAAATTTCCAGACATAATAGAGATGTGCTCACAGAGAATGTAAACAAACCGGGTGGGGCGTGCCATATTTGAAAGACTGCTTGCCATATAGCAAATTTTGGTCATAATTTGAAATTGCCGTATTAGCGGAATGCTGTAAGACGAAACGCTGTAAAGCGGTGCCCTACTGTGCACATGTATATTCCTGATAAAAGGGTAGTCTCCTGAGAGAACAATGTGGTAACTATACAGATTCATATATAATAAACTAATTTGTTTTTGCTTTTTTTTAATATTTACAGGATTCAGTTGTCTGGTGGGCAGTTAAATATAGATGATCGCTCGAAGTTAATTGAGGGCCTTGTCCAAGACAGCCGATTTGGAGAAGCTGCCAGTCTAGCAAGAGAGATGTTGTCGAGTGGTACCTACCCTCATTTAAGAATTTTAAAGTTTTTGGTGACTAATCTGGCCAAAAATGGTGATGTAGAGAGTGTTATATGTTTGGAAAAATACATGAATGATGTAAGTTGTTCTCTGATTAATTTTTAAATTGCTTGCTTGTTAACATATCAATTTGTCTAACTATGTCCTGGTTAGTTTTTTACACGAACTGATGTGCCGTATTAAGAGTAAAATGTTTTGGCTGTCTTTAAGTGCAGTACTTAAGTTGCCTCTTAAGGGCTCTTTAATAATAACAACAGTATGGTAGAAGTTTTTTCATACATGCATTTTTAGCAAGCAAAAAAATTAATTTTGTGTTAAATCTTTGAATGGAAACAAGCATCCTTTCCCTGTCCATTCATCAGTTTCTCTGAGTATTTTGTATGTTATGTATTCTCTGGTTCTTCTGAAGTAAAGTGTGTTTTGAGTGAGTCAACTTAGAATACTACATGCTCTTATGTTTTCAATTAATTCTTCCGAATTCTATCAGTTTCTCTCTTGAGATATGTTGGCATAGAGGATGAAGAACCAGCATATCTTTTTTTTTTTTTCCTAATTTTGAAGCATATCTGGTTATAGTCTTAATGCCATGACAAAGTAAATGAAGGCATCAACTTTTTGAATATTGTACTTTAACATTAAACTTCTGTGTGATTAGTACACACTTGACTCAACACATTTAATAATTACTGTTTTTTGCTTGATACTCATTATGACATTTCTCTGAATGCTTCTAAAAATCCCTGGAAAACATTAGTGTTATTAGAGGTCATCTTCAGTGAATTGCAATAATTATCACTGAGCTTCATGTTGTTGGTTCGAGCATAAAACAGCACAAGCAAGGCAGTACACCATTACTTTGTCTCCAGACAGCAAACTCTCGGGTCCCTCCACACAGCAGACCCTCAGGTCCCTCCCCACTGTAGGCCATCGATACCATTTCTGTACTTTTTTTTTTAATTGTAATTACCAGAAGTTAAAGAATTGCAGTTCAGAAATTATTGCACAAATAATCTGTAGATGGAAGAATAAAACTTGTGATGCTGTTTTGGTCCAACTTGGACAATTAACTAGTTATGTGACTGGTTAATGGTCAAAGTCAGACCAAAACATTGTCATAAGTTTCATTCTCCTATATGAATGTTGTTTGTGTATTGTTCCAGTCAGGGTATTATTCCTTGTCCTTCAGAAATTATTGGCTATTGGTACATCAGCCATGCATTATTATTATAATTAAAAAGAAGCACTAAACCATAAGGGCTATACAGACATCAGCTCTGCAAAGTTTCACTGCAATTTTAGATATTCATTTACGTACTTAAATTTTAAATTTTAGTCTCGCTAAAATTGTTACTTTATACAGATTATGAAGAAGCAGATTAAATTTGACAACTTGCTGTGTTTAGCGTACAAAGTGTCAGGGCGCACAGAAGAGTTTTTGGAGAACCTGCTAATCCAGATTCAGTCTGCTTGCACTCATGAACTAGAGTCCCTTGGTATACATTTCCCAAGAGGTGGAATAATAGGCATCATGGAAGACAGTCCTCAGTTTTTACCCAAAGGTAAGCAAACAGGTGGTCCCAAATTATGAATGCATGAGCTACAGGCATCCACACTTACTTGTAAGGTCCAGAAGAATTAAAATTAAATTGCTTCACAAATGACAGTCTATATTTATGAATGTGACACACATCCATTCATTATACCAGCGTTTTCTGTAGGAAAATACCATAAAGGTTCAGTGCTTTTCAAGAATGAGTAATACAGAAAAATCTGTTCTGAGTTTGGAGTGCAACTCCTTTGTTTACTGGAGACTCACAGTATTGCTTTAGAAATTCTTGGAGTTTTCTGCATTCTTGTTTGCTATGTTTAGCCCATTGATAATTTGCTCCAAAAATATCTCTTGCTGTAAGGAATTACCATCCTCACTTTAAATACTTGCTAATGAGTCTTGTAGTTATACTAGATTTGCAAATAAAAGAAAGATCCACCTAGAAATACGAGGATGTGTTTAGGAGTGTTATTTCACCATAAATTTTACATGTGAATTCTTTGTGCAGTAGGAATATATCCTCATCAGAAAAGATTCTGCCATTGGTTTGCTCATAATAATTTTTTTTTTTTCCCGACAAGTCTGCCATCTCTCACCGAGGCAGGGTGACCCAAAAAGAAAGAAAATCCCCAAAACTAAATACTTCCATCATCATTCAACACTTTCACCTCACTCTTACTTGCTGTTGCCATTTTCCTTTTGTCCCATCAACCTCTTACTCTAACTGTAGCTACAACTAAATACATATGTACTGTACTAATTATTAGATAATACATGTATTACCAAATGCATAATGCACATTAACCTGTCGAAGGTCAGAACCCCTGATTTGAAACTTGCTCTCCGATTCGGAGAAAAATTCCTTACAATAGAGAATCTTTTCCAAAGGTAATGAAACTAAAAGTACAAAATTTGATGGAAAACTTGTGGAATTATGCTCTCGCATAGTTAGTTGTCTCGGTGATGCAGCCTCTCCTCACTTAGCGATGTACTCGTTTACTGATGCCTCGGACTTACAACGGGCTCTCTGACCAGTATTTATACCTAAATAATGTATATTGCAGCCAATTTCCTTTTTTCTGTTTATTTCAATATGCATTAAACTACTGTATAAACATTTAAAAATATACCAGAAATGTTATAAATGGTGCAGAAGACTGTATTTACACACCAGTGATTTCACCCACTTTGAGCTCTATTTTCGGCCAATTCCGGTGTTCTGTTGACCAAGCTCTTAGTTATTTCACTAGTATTCTTTCTGTTGATTAAGTACAAGAAACCACCCATTTACCTGATTCAGCTACCTAATAAAGTGATCAGAAATCTGTAATTTGGCTAATTTCATGAAAAATTAAAAAATTGCCAGTTTCAAAACAGGGTCCAGAATAAACAGTGTAGACATTCCTGGCATTAAAACACTTACCCTGCTCATTAGTCACGTTCTCAGGCCTCCTCTTTATTACACTTGTTTTCCATTTTGAATTGTTATTCACACAAAAATAATTAATTTACTGTTATGCAGACTACGTTGTCATTGTAAAAATTTTATAAATATTGTCAGTGCATTTGTGGATCTGCATTAGACTGTCCACTTGTGCATATATTGGACAAGTGACTTAATTTGTGTACTCTGAATACCGGCAAAAATCAAACATTTCTGCTAATTTGAGCTGCGTTTGAAGCTACTTTCCATCCTGAAACCAATCAAAATCATCACTATTTTTGTAATTTATCTTCCATGCTATCAAATGAGACCAAGAAACGAATAATACAACAATAAAAAACACACAAAAATACACCCCTAAGTCGCTGTTTTGTACCAAAAAGACTTTTTCCATTATGCACGTCTTGCTACAGGAATTTTTTTATATGGTGCATACTTACCACATAGACCCATTCTCTCATATCCAAGCCCAAATTTACTGCTCATAGTTTATCTGAGTGAGCTGAGCTGATGGCGTAGAACTACGGGACCGACCTAGGCTTCAGAGCCGTAGCACTAAGGGACCAACACTCAAAAGGTTAAAAGAGTTTGAGATGTCTCATCATCCATTATATTTACAGTGATGCTGCACATTAGAAAAGTTAGGAATGTATTAATACAACACTTATGATATTTGCAGTAATCACTATCTCTGAGGAGTATGCCTCTCGAGGTCTGCTTTATCCTGCAAACTGTGTGTGGATGCACTACTTCTCTAACAAGCGTTACGATGAAGCGGAAGAGGTAAATATAATGGTCTCTTAGTTGAGTAAAGGATTGCACTGTAACTAATTACCAGTGTTGTTCATAATATAGTTGACATATAACAATGAACAGTTTAAATAATTATGAATTTAAAAATATTTATATGAAAAAGGGCAGCACCAATATAGTCTTATGTTAGGGAAAGCAATATTAATTCACATAGTCAGTGGTTACTACAGAGTAGAAGCCATTCAATATTTTTTTGTACCATGCCTTAAAAGAGCTATGGTCAGCAAATTCTTTAGATTTCTCAAGAATGTGAACTATAAACTCGAACTTTTTAATCGTTTGCATTATAGTGTATAGAAACATGTACATTTGCTGACTTTGTGTATGTACAGTACAGTAAATTTGAAAATCCTGTCTTTTGTTAGACGATCCTCTTTTCCATAAGAGTTCACTTATTTGTAATCTTATCATTCTTTACTAGTGGAATTTATTGTGCTTGTTCATTTTGCTAGATTTCTTAGATTTGTGTACTTAGGTAGCCTTTCATGTTTGCCATTTCATAAGGAATGGAGGGACTATTCTGGCTTATAAGTTGTTCCTATGACTAGTGAATGATTGTAACCTTTTAACTTGTTTTCATGGCCTTACTACATTGGTTGTTAATTGGAATATATGAAAATGACCAGACAAATGTAAATAGGAAATGCATCTCTGTGGATTAAGCCTCCACCATGTCTTGCACATGGGTTTAGCTCTTAACATGAATAATATAATGATGATAGAGTGGGAGAGGCACTGTCAAGAAATTTTAATGAAAATAAGAAAAAATTTTGGAGTGAGTTAAACAAGTTAAGAAAACCTAGGGAAAGTATGGATTTGTCAGTTAAAAACAGAGTAGGGGAGTTGGGAGATGGAGGTATTAGGTAGATGGCGAGAATATTATGAGGAACTTTTAAATGTTAAGGAAGAAAGAGAGGCAGTAATTTCATGCACTGGTCAGGGAGGTATACCATCTTTTAGGAGTGAAGAAGAGCAGAATGTAAGTGTGGGGGAGGTACGTGAGGCATTACGTAGAATGAAAGGGGGTAAAGCAGCTGGAACTGATGGGATCATGACAGAAATGTTAAAAGCAGGGGGGATATAGTGTTGGAGTGGTTGGTACTTTTGTTTAATAAATGTATGAAAGAGGGGAAGGTACCTAGGGATTGGCAGAGAGCATGTATAGTCACTTTATATAAAGGGAAAGGGGACAAAAGAGACTGTAAAAATTATAGAGGAATAAGTTTACTGAGTATACCAGGAAAAGTGTACGGTAGGGTTATAATTGAAAGAATTAGAGGTAAGACAGAATGTAGGATTGCGGATGAGCAAGGAGGTTTCAGAGTGGGTAGGGGGCGTGTAGATCAAGTGTTTACATTGAAGCATATATGTGAACAGTATTTAGATAAAGGTAGGGAAGTTTTTATTGCATTTATGGATTTAGAAAAGGCATATGATAGAGTGGATAGAGGAGCAATGTGGCAGATGTTGCAAGTATATGGAATAGGTGGTAAGTTATTAAATGCTGTAAAGAGTTTTTATGAGGATAGTGAGGCTCAGGTTATGGTGTATAGAAGAGAGGGAGACTACTTCCCGGTAAAAGTAGGTCTTAGACAGGGATGTGTAATGTCACCATGGTTGTTTAATATATTTATAGATGGGGTTGTAAAGGAAGTAAATGCTAGGGTGTTCGGGAGAGGGGTGGGATTAAATTATGAGGAATCAAATCCAAAATGGGAATTGAGAGTTACTTTTTGCTGATGATACTGTGCTTATGGGAGATTCTAAAGAAAAATTGCAAAGGTTAGTGGATGAGTTTGGGAATGTGTGTAAAGGTAGAAAGTTGAAAGTGAACATAGAAAAGAGTAAGGTGATGAGGGTGTCAAATGATTTAGATAAAGAAAAATTGGATATCAAATTGGGGAGGAGTAGTATGGAAGAAGTGAATGTTTTCAGATACTTGGGAGTTGACGTGTCGGCGGATGGATTTATGAAGGATGAGGTTAATCATAGAATTGATGAGGGAAAAAAGGCGAGTGGTGCGTTGAGGTACATGTGGAGTCAAAAAACGTTATCTATGGAGGTAAAGAATGAAATGTATGAAAGTATAGTAGTACCAACACTCTTATATGGGTGTGCAGCTTGGGTGGTAAATGCAGCAGCGAGGAGATGGTTGGAGGCAGTGGAGATGTCCTGTTTAAGGGCAATGTGTGGTGTAAATATTATGCAGAAAATTCGGAGTGTGGAAATTAGGAAAAGGTGTGGAGTTAATAAAAGCATTAGTCAGAGGGCAGAAGAGGGGTTGTTGAGGTGGTTTGGTCATTTAGAGAGAATGGATCAAAGTAGAATGACATGGAAAGCATATAAATCTATAGGGGAAGGAAGGCGGGGTAGGGGTCGTCCTCGAAAGGGTTGGAGAGGGGGTAAAGGAGGTTTTGTGGGCAAGGAGCTTGGACTTCCAGCAAGCGTGCGTGAGCGTGTTAGATAGGAGTGAATGGAGACGAATGGTACTTGGGACCTGACGATCTGTTGGAGTGTGAGCAGGGTAATATTTAGTGAAGGGATTCAGGGAAACCGGTTATTTTCATATAGTCGGACTTGAGTCCTGGGAAGTACAATGCCTGCACTTTAAAGGAGGGTTTTGGGATATTGGCAGTTTGGAGGGATATGTTGTGTATCTTTATATGTGTATGCTTCTAAACTGTTGTATTCTGAGCACCTCTGCAAAAACAGTGATAATGTGTGAGTGTGTTGAATGATGATGAAAGTATTTTCTTTTTGGGGATTTTCTTTCTTTTTTGGGTCACCCTGCCTCGGTGGGAGACGGCCGACTTGTTAAAAAAAAAAAAAAAAAATTGGAAAATGTCATACAATGAAATAATCGATTTGTTATGAGTTTTAGCTCTGTCCCATCTCTTAGCTGTCAACTGAGTGATGTGATAATAGTCCATCGTAGATAAAAAAAAAAAAAAAAATTATATATCTTCAGCACAAGCTTATCGTAGTGGTAATGATAGATCAGAAACTTTACTCTCTTGTATATCATCTATATAGTCTCACTTATTTTGGTTTGCAGATATACAAGAAACACCTCTCCGAGAGCTCAGCACCCTTAATGTTCCGAAACATCCTAGACAAAGCAAGGAAAACTAGTAATGCAGATGATCTGAGCAAACTCCTTGAAATTTTGGAGACTCGTTCTAATTGCACACCTCATTCTAAGGGTCTTGTTTATAGCTCCTGGATTGACATTCTTGGTTAGTAGATTTAACAATTGTTTATAGAGTACAATAGGTAATTAATGAATTTATACATTTTTCTATATTTTATACATCAAATAGGGATAGGACAATACCAAGCTTTTTTTTGCTGATACAGATACTTCACTTTAAAAATAAATATTGAACATAGTTTTCCTATTTTAAGAGAATTCTTATAGCTCAGAACCAGCAACTTCCTCACCATTATTATGCTCAATTAAGTAACAGTAGATCCAGAATCATGCGAGATGGTGAGGGTTATTCAAATATATAGGTCACACTGACAATCATTTTTATTTTACTAATTTTTAGCACTTGTGTAATATTCATATGTTAAGAGTATTGATAACTTTTTCACCATTACCAGTTTACAAAAATTGGCCAATACTGCTAACTTATCTCACCCCTGACATCAGATTATCTGAATTATTAGTCTAGTTTTATTTTCAGTATGATAGTTCTTTAATGTCCCTCCATTAAACTTTAACCCTTTCACTGAGTCAATCATCACCCAGTTATTTCCCAATAACTATCATTTCTTGATGTGGCATTATTTTTTTTATTAGTTTACCTGTTTTGTAAACTTAGAAATATGGGGATTATAAATAAAATGCACTCTTATATATTACCTTTACAATTTGTCTTCCAGTCAAAAACAAGAAGATTGACGAGGGTCTAGAAGTGCTACAAGCTGCCTTGAAGAAGTTAACCCTGGTGGATTTTAACACCACAGCTTTAACCAGGCTTAGAGATGGACTTGAATTATCAGGCAAATCATTTCCATACACAATTCCTGCAAAGGTATTTAGATAATATATAATTTTAGAGTTATCTTGTGTTTTTCATGGGAGTTTTTGCAAACAGAGTTATCAAATCATAATAGTACAAGATATTTTAAGACATCTTCAACATTCTCCTGAAGAGATATTTTCTATGCTGTTATCACGGATTATATATAAGCTACGTGTAAAACTTCTCGGTAAGTTCCCCACAAAATGCAAAAAATAATAGTTATATTATACTAACAATTTCAAGCAATGCTCCACCCTTCAGTGAGGTGCCATGATGCTGGTGGGGTGTTGATGGTGCAAAGAATCAAGTTTGATTACCCCCTATTCTCCAGGCATGGTACGACTCCCCATGAATATAAAAATATATAATTCAAGTATTTTATTAGTTTTTGTTAATAAAGGCAGCCTTATCAGACTGTGTTTATGTTCTCCACTGACTTGTTAAAGTTTCGTAACATTGATTGCAAGTTCTTTCATAATTACCTCATTTGTGGGAAACATATTCATAGATATATCAATTGTGACACTTAGTCAAAGACAAAATGGTAATGTCACCAGCATAAAGGGTCTTCCATACCTGTTTTCCCATGAAACTCAGTGTAAGCATTATACAGTTAAAATATTGGTTGATAAGGATGTTAGCCTGGAAATACCATTATTCCACTGATGGAGGTTTTGTGTGCAAAACCTCCAGGTATATGTGGGTGGAAAAGAATGGTTTTTGGGACTTGAAGAGATGTTAGGTTACGTGAGCAGGATAATATTTTGTGAAGGAATTCAGGGAAAGCAGTTAGCTGAACTTGTCTTAAAGGTGGGAAGTACAATGCCTGCAATTTAAAAGGAGGGGTTTGGGATATTTGCTTCGAGAGTGACATCTAGACTGTCATATCTCTGTACCTCTGGCAAGAGTGATAGTTTTTTTTTTTTTGGGGGGGGGGGGGGGAGTGTACCCTGCCTCAGTGGGAGATGGCCATCCTGTTAAAAAAAAAAAAAGAATACATTCAGTATTAAAAGGGATAACACTTAGCATTGCAGAGAACAGTTTGCTATATTTCAAACTTTATTTTGTGTTAATTCTGTATTTAGAGATTATTTGTATTATGCTGGATAGTTTGTTTTTAAAATATTTCCTGAAGTTCTTGCTTATAAACCAACTGATACTCCTGTTACACTGATACACTGTTATTAAAAGCAATTAACACTGTTGCAGTGCAACAGATTTCATACCTAAGTCTTCTTTCTTTCAACACACTGGCCATATCCCACTGAGGCGGGGTGGCCTAAAAGGAAAAACGAAAGTTTCTCCTTTTACATTTAGTAATATATACAGGAGAAGGGGTTACTAGCCCCTTGCTCCCTCATACCTAAGTATGAATTGGTATAATTGTTACATGACAGAGAAATTAACAGTAACTTTGTAGATCCAATACTTGCATTATTAATTATCGATAATAAAGTTTATATATTTCAGGAGAGACATGATCGCCGCAACAAGAACAGCGACAGCAGCAGTGATAGTGATTGATGTGTGATGTATTGACCTCTCGTCTGAATTTTGTTATGAAAAGTTAATAAAAATATTCGTTTACTTGTATTTAAACTTCACTTTTTTTTCCAATTAACTATTTATAAGAAATCTTAGGCTGAGCATTTAGTTTAATGATCAGTTAATATTTCATTCATCTCAGTAATTAAAAAAACTAGTTTTTGTTTTCAAAAATGTTATGTATTTTTCTTTATATCTGAAACAGGTGAATGATAATGATTTGTTGATTATAACTGTAGGTTATAGGCTGGGCTTTTTATTATTATTATTCCGAAGACTTGAAATATTTGCCAAAGAAATACCCATGGTGGTTTGGCTATCACAAGAAACAGGAATATGGAGGATTGGTTTCCAGCCATATTCTAATGGGAAGGGATATGACAGTCAGCTAACAAGAAAATAAGAATGGGCAAACATTCATTGTGATAGTGGGTCTATAGTTTTGTAGCCCCATTATTCAAAGGGTATCAAGAGGGGTGTGTGGCCAATCATTAAACAAAACTTATTTTCTGCATGGCATATAAAATGCCCAAAATAGTGTCAAATTATTTTTTTTATAAGTGATTCATTATGTTTTATTTAAGATTGGCAACATTTCACATGTATATTTCCATGATTCTACCTAAATAAACTAAAATTAAGGATTAAAATTGTTATTTTATTTTTGTTCTCATTCCATATTTACACTGCAGTTTAACCTTTAAAACTGTGTAATGTACTAGTACGCACAAGTATTTGTACCTTCAAAACTCTCAACCTGCTAATATTTTGGACCCCATCACAACACTCTGGGGCTTCTACAATCTATTCATACATTTGAAAAAATCTAAAGGCCAGGAGGGTCCACACAGTGCATCATGGTTAACTACACAGGAGATGACCATGTCCAGTGTACTAGTATGTCTAACTAGCATATATAAAAAATGAAATCAAGAGCTGTTGCTCCCACCACCAGCAAACAGGGTGTGCAGGCAGCATGAAGATAATTTATTCATTCCAATTTCATGATACTAACAGTGGAATTCAGTCATATAGCATGCACACACAATATTTAAAGTTGAACAGTGTGACTTATTTCCATGTTTTGAGGAGTATTACACTGTAATGTTGTATGTATTGTTTGTACATAGCATTAGAAGACCAGGATAGTACAGAAATTTAAAAAAAATTACTTTTTTTTTTTTTCAAACGAACTGGCCTTATCCTGCCAAGGCAAAGTGACCTAAAAAGAAAAAGTTTTTCTTTTTAAATTTAGTATTTGTAAAGGAAAATGGGTTACTAGCCCCTTGCTCCCAATTATATTTTACATATATATTGTATATTCCAAGTGGAGCAATGTCAGGCTAAGCATTTCCCCATGTTCGAAGTGCTAAAACATCTTTCAACAGATCTAATGTTATAAGAAACTAGTGTACATAGTGTTAAACATTAAAAGCAATTAAAAAAATCACATCTTAGTGTTATTAAATTGTAAAACTTAAATATTACTAGTGCATTTATGCCGCTGTTGCCAATGAACAATCATTTATTCACCAAATTTGACATACCATAAAATTATAAGGGTTTATCAGAGTCCACTCATTTTGTTTTATTTGGTTCAGATTTTTTTTTTTTTTTCCCAAAAAATCTTCTCCCACACAGGAATTTTTATTTACAGGTATGCCACTGTTTAAAGGTTAATTTGTGGTTAAATTTTGCTATTGATATTTGTAATAGCCTTAGATTCTGATGTTTTCATTATTTTTGTGAACACCTTGTTCTTGTTAAGTTTCTATTGACTGTTCATAAAATGTTTTAATTGGGTAGGCCATGTCTGAAGAATACCGGGATAAGATATTTGTTCATTTTTATGTTCAACATATGGTTATTGACTGGTTTTGTATAATCTAAGTTGTATAATATTGTAAATATTTTATTAAAAAATTACTGCTCTCTCCTATTTTTATGTACATATACTATTTGAAATGGTTATAAATTGCAATAGAATACTAACATACAAATCATCTCTCATCAAGGTAGGGTCACACAAAAAATAATAATTTATAACTGTCTTGGCAGAAGTATGCAAATATTACAATATAAATGAAAGAGTGCAGCCACTGCACTTCCCACTTTCAGAACTCAAGTTCATCTAACTGATTTGCCAGAATCCCTTTGTAAGTGCTACCTAGCTCGTGTATCAACAGAACCTTAAACCAAAAACAACCACTCTACTCTGATCTACCATACTCTCACAAGCAGTGTTGTATGATCTATATGGTTCTGTAATATAATAATGTATGACCACTTACAGTTTAGCATTTCCCAGGAATAAATAAATCTTTATTTTTCCCCTCACCTCAATGGAGGTTCTTGGGTGCCAGTGAGAGGCTTTTGATACAAGGAATTTAACCTGTCTCTCCCTTCCTTCCCCTCAGGGAAGGTTCCTTGATGTTGGTGAGGGGACTCTTGATTTAGGGAATTGGATCTGTGCTCCAGTTCCCCGAATTAAGCCTGAATGCCTTCCACATTCCCCCCCCCCAGGCGCTGTATAATCCTACGGGTTTAGCGCTTCCCCTTGATTATTATAATAATAATAATTTCCCTTCCTTGCATCAAACCTGATTGCCTCAAATTTTCCCAGGCCCTGTATAACCCATACAGGTTTAACACTTCATTCATCTTGTAAGCCTTGTGTTCAGGTCCATGGAGGTGTTACATCACATCCTGTAAAACTTATCACATCCTCCTCATGGTATGTGAACACTTGCCATGATATTCTTTGGCTGCAGTTTTCTTTTTAACTATGTTCGTTGTGTTGGAGGATAGGCTAGCAACCCTGATGTTGGTTTTGGCAAAAGATTTGGAGAGATTATTGCAGATGTTGTCGACAGATAGATCAATGTACGTATATGCTGGGGTCAGAACTTTGTCTGACTTAGTGTTGTATATTCTCAGCTCTTTTTCCTGTAGTTGAAGTGATGTGAATAGGGATGTTTATGGAAGATTTTCTAGATGTAATCACATTCTTCTTTGGGGAACAAACTTTGTGAATTCTTAGAATGAAACCCAGTGCTTTATGACCCTTGTGGGTTTAGTGCTTAGTTATAATTATAATAATTAGGAAAAAAACAATAAGAGTCCTCCACTATGTGGAGGAGTCACTGCTTCGGCCTACTCTCTGGCACAACCTAATTATTAAAGCTGATGATTTATACAGGTGACAACACCCGCCCATCTCAGTATTTCGCCTCGTGATTCATGTTACACATGCTCTGTGTAGTTGTCTGTCAGTTCATGAAAACTCTGGTCAATGAAATGTCTTGTAATAAATAAATGCCAAAAATTGACAAACACTCTTCTTTTCATCATATATTTGTCATATAGTCTAACAGTAAAACGCAATATAACACTTCCTTACATGTACTTTATTCATCACTTAACCTCACAAGAGTCCTGAACTCTTGATTCTGATGCATTGTCCTCACTCCCCCTTCCTTAAGATCAACCCTATTGCCAGTTTCATTTCCCCCCCAGGTGCTTCTGTATGAACCCCCTGTGGGTTTAGCATATTCCTGATATAAAGAAAAATGAATTTTTTGATCAGTTCTGATTGTCTTTTATTTCGATACACTGTGATCCCTATGGTGGTTTTTCTTCTTTTTTTTTTTTCCTTCCTACCATGCATTACCCATGTTGAGTAGCTGAGCTCTTTTAACATGGTTTCTAGAGCCATTTCCCAGTGGTGACCAATCCATCCCATGAGTTCCAAACATGTTCAGGGAATGTGAATGTACTATTTCTTACAAGAAGAAATGAGTAAGTTCACAATTCGCTGGTTCAAAGAGCCCTTCACAAAGCATCAACAACCATTCTTTGACATGTTGACAATGGAAATGCTTTATTTGACCTCGATGTTTAGAGTTTGTGTGCAAATATAGTACAGTAATAATATTGACAACACACACATTCCAAACGCTGTGGTTTTAGCTTTTGAGAGCGCCCAACCCAATCATCCTGAACAAGGACTTTATGAAGGAATGAATTAGACAGGATTTATTTTCTAGTGCCATCAACAGGGACCAAGCAGGAGCCACAGTATTTGATATAGAGAAAGAAAAGTGATATCAAGATACTTGGAAATTTTTCCTTCACATCAGTAGATCGAAGGGAAGAATAAACAAGGGAAGTAGAAATTGCAAACCATTAGAAAATTTAAAAAGAAAATTATGTAAACAAAGTAAATGACGAAGCCATGGACAACCAATAGCAAGGCTACTGTTCCAGTAATCTACAAAAGGACGTGCGCGCGAAATTAAGTGCTTTGTTTCATTATCTTTCTAATAAATCAAACCCCCTCAGGGAAGTTCCATGATGTTGGTGAGGGCCTCTTGATTTAGGGATCTGGATCTGTGCTCCTAGATCCCTGATTAATCCTAATGCCACTTCCCCATCTCCCCCCCCCCGCCCCATCCATCCCCCCCTGCCACACCCCCCCCCCCCCCCCCCCCCCCCCCAACCCCCCCCCTTGCATCCCCCCCCCCTCACCCCCCCCCCCCCCGGTTCAGTAAAATCCTATCCTAAAAAACTACTGGAATTTAAACGCTTCCCCCCCTCTTCAGAAGGGGGCTCCTTGGCGTGGTGAAGAGGCCCTTGTCCTGAGGAAATTAAAAAAAAAGCCCTGTTCTCTTTCTTCCTCCCCCCCCCCCCCCCTCAGACCGAACTTAATTACCCCCCATTTCTCCCCTCCCCTATTATCCCATCCCTCCCCATCCTCTACACCCTTTTCCATTTCCTCTCCTCCTCCTCACCCCTCCCCTTTTGCCCTTCCTCTTTTTAGACATCGTGAATTCTCCCAACAAATAGGCGCGCTGTTTCTATAAGGGGAAAGGACAGCCGGGGTCCATCCCAATCCGTTGAGGTTTCTTGGCGTGGGGCGTAGTTGGCCGTGGAATCAGGTTGCCTAGGGTGTCCCCCCGATTTCCCTCTCCCCCGTATCCCGGAGTAGCCTTTGGGTGTTTTTGGCGACGGGTGGTATCTCTGGAAAGCCACCTTTCGGATACCGGGGTGGTGGCTGAAGGAGGTAAGCATTGAGGCGGATATCCGGGCCGCCCTCTCTTTGTCCACCGAGTAGCTAGGCAGATGTGGAGGTTGCAAATCCTCAGATTGCTTGTTTACGCATTAAGGGTAGGGTATGGCCTACGGTTCCATGCTGCATCTGCGCTACTTTTAACTATCGTAGTCCGAGTCCTCATGGGCGCAGAGGAGATTTTCATGGTCTGGCCCATTCATTCCTCCTAGGAACTATCCCTTCCCCGGGTCCCCCCCCCTTTATTTTTTTTCTTTTTTTTGTTTTTATTTTTCTTTTCTTTTCTTTCTTTTTTTTTCTTAAAAACAACGAATAGTAACCTAACCATGGCAGCCCAGTCCATGAACCTATACCACCCGGGCCCCTTCTTGATACGCACCCCGTTCTGGACCCCCGCCTCGTCTTGGACCACACACTCAACATTCCACAATGCCTCTGTACCTATTGCCGGTGCTGTTTCCTCACCCGCTTCAAGTACTGAGGCCTCGACTGACACCTTCGTTTAATCAGACCGTCCGCTCTCCCCTCTGACAATGCTTTCCCGGCCTCTTTTTCCCTCTACGGTGCGGGCGTCAATTTTCAAATCGCCGACCCGTTCCCAACGTCGGACCAACTCTGGTCCCACGCCTAAACTCAACACAATTACTGCTGTGATACTTCATCCACCTTCACCTTCTCGTTCTTCTCAAAACGATTGACACGTCCTTCACAACCTTTCCAACGCTCAGTTTCAGACTGAACAGTGGACTAATTCTTTACATTCTACACTTTACGACCAACTTCCTCTAATGCCTATCTTTCCTGACCATAGTATTGGCAAGGCACTTCCTACGCCAAGGTTGGTAAAGAAAAATTTCTTTTTCATGCTTTAAGAAGCGGTACGGCTCATCATAACCGACAAGAAATGCTACCCAGGCTCAGGCTCTTGAGCTCTCTCCCGTCTTTCCCATATAGATACGGTTCCCTGTCACCCTTTGAAAAACATCAATCCCTCACTTTCCTTGTAGTGGTACCGTTATTCTGTCTGCCCCATACCCTAGTTCAACCAAAATTTCCAGACATGTTGCACCGACGTTTCTCGAACAGCTGGAACTCCAAGATCTCCCAATCCATCAAGGTAACACTTACGTTCTTCCGCCCAGAGGGGCGGAGAACGATACCTACCCTAGCAAATGTGGCTTTCGTTTTAACTTTTTTGAACACCGGTAGAACCTCCCATCCTCCGTTTGAAAGCAGGACATTCGGTTCAAGTTCGAAAGGTGATCCCTACACCACAACAGTGTAGAAATTGGCTGCTATTCGGCCATCACACAGTACCAGCCGAAATCTTGCATATCTATCGCCGAATGCCCAGATCCTGTGTGGTGCCGATGACCATTCCTAATTACGTCTTGCAATCGTTCTCCCTCTTGCCTTAACTGTCATGAGACCACCCTTCGTACTCCCTCCGCCGTTGTCAGGTCTGATTTAAAACGAGCGGGAAATCCGTTACCTCAAAGAGACGAAGGTCTCCCATATGCCATGGCAGCTTTTCTCATCTCCGCCTCCACGTAGACTTCCCACGTGTTTCTTTTATTCCCCGTGTTTCAAAACGTCCCCCCCACTTCTGGTATCCCATCATCTACATACACCCACCTCGTGGTTACCCTTCCACCACCCATAATCACTACTCTGTATCTAATCCTTTTGCTGGTCCTCCCCCGGGCACAGACGTCCCCTACCTTCAATTCAGCAACGTCAACGCCTCAGTCTAATCTTCGCTTCTCGAGTTCTCTCTTACAAGCCTCAGTATCGGACGAGACCTCGTACGACAACCCCTCTTCCCAAAATTTTATTCCGTCCCCTTACTTCTCAAAAGACAAAA